TTCCTGCTGGCATGTGAATTCTTACTGCTGAGCCACAGGGGAAGCCCAACTATTATAATAGCAAAATTTAAAAGTGAAAAAAGACAGGTAGAGTTCATTTAATTGCATTTTATTCAACCGAATCTATGCAAAATTTTTAAAGAGATGGGAATGCCAGACCACCTTACCTATCTCTTGAGAAACCTGTATGTGGGTCAAGAAGCAATGATTAGAACTGGATATATAATAGTAGACTGGTTCCAAATTGGGAAAGGAGTATCAAAGCTGTATATTGTAAACCTGCTTCTTTAGTTTATATGCAGAGTCCATCATCCAAAATGCCAGGCAGCATGAAGTACAAGCTGGAATCAAGATGGCTAGGAGAAATACCAACAACCTCAGTTATGCAGATGATACCACCCTTATGGCAGAAAGTGAAGAGAAACTAAAGAGCCTCTTGATGAGGGTGAAAGAGGAGAGTAAAAAGCTGACATGAAACTCAACATTCAAAAAACTAAGATCATGGCAATTGGTCCCATCATTTCATGTGAAATAGATGGGGAAAAATGGAAACAGTGACAGATGCAAGCATCCCACCTCTTTGATCTCAGTCCTGGGAGTGGCTTCTGCTCCTCTAGCTCCTGACAGGTACTGATAAGGAACAGGGGGCTCAAGAGAGATAGGATATAGCACACGGGAATCCTACTGTTAAACATCCCCTGACATGTATCACTTTAACATATCTTGTTTTTTAGGGCAGTTTTAGGTTCACAGCAAAACTGAGTGGGAAGTACGGAGTTCCTACATATCCCCACCCTCACACAAGCACAGCCTACCCCACCATCAGTATCTTGTGATTTGATGCATTTGTTACAAATGGGCTACATTCATTATAATGGATAAACCTACACTGACATGTAAATATCACCCAAAGTCCGTAGTTTACATTAGAGTTCACTCTTGTTGCTAAGTTCTATGTGTTTTGATAAATGTATTATAGTAACACATATGGACCATTACAGAATAATTTCCCTGCCCTAAAATCCTCTGTGCTCCATCTATTCATTTCTTCTTCTCTGCTAACCCCTGGCAACCACTGATCTTTTTACTGACTCCATAGTTTTGTCTTTTCCAGAATGTCATATCCTCAGAACCAACAGGAATGGAAACTTTTCAGATTGGCTTCTTTCACTTAGTAATGTGCATTTACGTTTCCTTCATGTTCCTTCATGTCTTGATAGCCTTTTTTCTATTTTTTTTATTAAGGTAAAATATTCATAACACAAATTTTACAACCTTAACCACTTTCAAGTGTACAGTTCAATGGTATTAAGTACATTCATAACCTTGTGTAACCATCACCACTATCCATACTCGGAACTCTTTATCTTGCAAAAGAAACTCTATACACCTTAAACAATTCCCATACTTCCTTTCTCACAGCCCCTGGAAAGCATCATTCTACTTTTTATCTCTAAAGTACTTCGTGTAAGTGAAATCACAAAGTATTTGTCGTTTTGTGACTGGCTTATTTATCTTACCATAAAGTCCTCATGTTTCATCCATAATAGTGCCAGATTTACTTACTTTTTAAGGGTGAATAATATTCCGTTCTATGTGTATATCCCATTTTGCTTATCCATTCATCCATCAGTGAACACCTGAATTGCTTCCACTTTTCAGCTATTGTGAAAAATGCTTCTATGAATGTGGTTTTATAAATATCTCTTCAAGTTTCTGCTTTCAATTCTTTTCAGCATAGACCCAGTAGAAGTACTGGATCATACAGTAATTCTACTTTTAATTTATTGAGGAACCATCATACTGATTTCCACATAGCTGTACCAGTTCATGTTCCCACCAACAGTGTCCAAGTGTTCCAGTTTCTTCACAGTCTCACCAATATTTATGTTGTCTCTTAAAATGAATTATCGTTATACTAGGAGGTGTCAGGTGGTACTTCATTGTAGTTTTGTCTTGCATTTCTCTAATGATTATATATTGAGTATAATTTCTGTGCTTATTGGACATTTGTATGTCTTCTTTGGAAAAATGTCTATTCGTGGTCTTTGCTCATTTTTGAGCTGGATTTTTTGTTGTTGTTATTGAGTTTTAGGAGTCCTCTATCCATTCTGGATATCAGTCTCTTATCAGATATATGATTTTCAAATGTTTTCTCACATTTCTTTGGGTTACCTTTGTTCTCTGTTGATACGACATTGTAATGAAAAATATTTAAAATTTTCGTGAAGTCCAGTTTTTCTATTTTCTTATGTTGACTGTGTCATTGGTGTCATATCCAGGAAACGACTACCAAATTCAAGGTTGTAAAAGCTTGTCCTATTTTTTCTTCAAAGAGTTTTAGAGGTACAGGTCTTACATTTAGATTGAGGGTCCACTTTGAGTTAATTTTGTGTATGATGTTAGGTATGGATCTAACTTCATTCTTATGCATGTGAATATCCAATTTTCCTAGAACCATTTGTTGAAAAGACTGTCTTTTCTCAGTGAATGGACTTAATGCCCTTGTCAAAAATGATTTGACCTAATGTGTGAGGGTTTATTTGTGGATCCTGTATTCTCTTCCATTGATCTCTATGTCTGACTTTGTGCAAGGACCACTCTATTTGATTACTGTTGCTTTGTAGTGAGTTTTGAAATCAGGAAGTAGGATCCCTCAGGCTTTGTTCTTTCTCAGGATTTTTGTTTTTTTTGTTTTTTGTTTGTTTGTTTTTTTTCTTTTGGTTACTCAGGGTCCCTTAAGATTCTATATGAATTTTAGAATGGGTTTTTTTATTTCTGTGAAAAGTTATCCAGATGTTGATTTTGTGTTTTGATTTTGTTTGATGTTTTGATTTTGTTTGATGTTTGATTTTGTTATTTAATGCAACTGCATTAAATATATAGATTGCTTTGGATAGTAATGATATCTTAACAATATTAAAGCTTCCAATCCATAAATCTGGGGTGTCTTTCCATTTACTTATATTTTCTTTCATTTCTTTCAACAGTGATTTGTAGTTTTCACTGTATAAGTTTTGGACCTCCTTGATTAATTCCTCAGTATTTTACTTTTTTGATGTTATTCTAAATGGAATCATTTTTGTAATTTCCTTTTATGGTTATTCATTAGTAGTATATAGAAATGCAACTATTTTTTTATATATTGACTTCGTATCCTGCTGTTTTTCTGAATTCACTTAAGAGTGGTAATGGTTTTGTGTGTAGGCATGGAATTTTTAAAATTTTGTACACAGAAGGATTATGCACATATAACATCAGTGAACAGAGATGATTTTACTCCTTCTTTTTCAACTTAAATGCCTTTTACTTTTTACATTAGAGAACCTCAACATATCACTGGTCTTTGGAGAAATGCAAGTTTGAATTATGCTAAGGTCCTGCTGCTGCTGCTAAATCGCATCAGTGTTGTCCGACTCTGTGCGACCCCATAGATGGCAGGCCACCAGGCTCTTCCGTCCCTGGGATTCTCCAGGCAAGAATACTGGAGTGGGTTGCCATTTCCTTCTCCAATGCATGAAAGAGGAAAGTGAAAATGAAGTCGCTCAGTCGTGTCCGACTCTTAGCGACCCCATGGACTGCAGCCTACCAGGCTCCTCTGTACATGGGATTTTCCAGGCAAGAGTACTGGAGTGGGTGGCCAGTGCCTTTTCTGATACTAAGGTACTACTGCAAACCTATTGTTGTTGTTTAGTCACTAACTGAAGTGAATGGTGTACGATTCCATGTGTGTGACCTCCCAGAAAAGACACCACTGCAGTCATTTTGAATCAGCACTTGCACTGGGTTTTGGACCGAGGGAGGGGCTGATTCCAGTGGAACAGGAGTTCGGGGCCTCTACGGTCTGGTGGGGGTGTGTCTGCGTTTGTCAAAACTCAAAACTCAGAGAACTGCACGTGGCAAAGAGTGGATCGCAGGCCAGAGGGGTAAGGCAGCTAGCAGTACTTGCTTCTACAGGGTCAAGCAATGGACTTCCTCTCCCTTAGTCTACTGTGTGCTGACTGTGCTGTTCTTTATTAATATTTGTTATATTCTGCCTTTGGGCTCGCCGTTTTTCTGGACCATGTACTCTCAAGGTGGTTTTTGTAGATGGTGTATGACTGGCTTCTTTTCAGAATACCTCTCTTATCCAAAATGCTCTAATCTCCATCCACCTGATAATGCACTTCCCTCAAACTTTCAAGATTTGGTTCCACTGTCTTCAGGAACGTTGATTGGCGGAGCGAAGTTGGATGCCAAACTCTCTGGAAGCTTTTAGGCTGTTTCCTCGTATTTGGTGTCAGACATTTCACCAATGTGTCAGATACGCACCATTTTCCACTCATCTTGTCCTGTGTGTGGTCAAAGTTCCAAATCTGAAGCACCATGTCTCTTTCCCTTCTCTCTGGGAAATGTTCTGTTTCTCCCTTTGCTGCCCACGTCCTCTCTCCGTAGACCCCGGCTGATGGAGCTGGACCTTCCCTCCATCCTGCTCTGTGCTTGAGACATGTCTTGGTTCTTCTCACTCACTCCTTCTCCCTTTGGGCGGTCTGCCCACTGTTCAGCCCTGGTGCTTGAGGGGGACGTCCTACAGCAGGTGACAGCACTGTCCCAACTTTGAGCTCTGAGATACCCAGTCACTGAGATGGGGGGTTCACAGCCACTCACCTGCAGAGCCATGGAGACAGCTGGGAGGGGAGCAGCTGGCAGGCACACACGGGTGGGGCTTCAGGACCCTAGATCAGTCCTGTGTTTGCTGAGAGAACCTCACACAGCTCAGGAGTGACCCAGCACTCAACCAGGACATGCATTTTACAAGCAGCAAACTCTTGTGTAGATAAACAAGAAGTAATAAGGGCTCAACACACCAACAAGGAAAGGGAAGCCTCAGGGAGCCTTCAGTTGGAGCAACACACACCTGGATGGGGTATAAAAGGCCCAGAGCCCTGAGCAGCACTCACACACTCACTCACTCACACACACTCACATCCTCACCCTCCTCCAGCTTCACCAACTCCACCATGGCCTCCTCCGCATTGTCCGTCTGCTCCAGTGACCTGAGCTACGGCAGCCGGGTCTGCTTGCCCGGGTCCTATGACTCCTGCACCGGCTCCTCCTGGCAGGTGGACGACTGTCCAGAGAGCTGCTGCGAGCCCCCCTGCTGTGCCCCCAGCTGCTGCGCCCCGGCCCCCCGCCTGACCCTCCTCTGCGCCCCAGTGAGCTGCGAGTCCAGCCCCTGCTGCCAGCCAGCCTGCAGCAGCTCCTGCCTGGCCTCATGCTGCCAGACGTCTAGCTGCCAGTCCTCCTGCTGCACCTCCTCCCCCTGCCAGCAGGCCTGCTGTGAGCCCGTCTGCTGCAGACCTGTCTGCTGCACTCCTGTGTGTTGCACACCTGTGTGCTATGAAGCCTCCCCCTGTTCTACCTCCTCATGTTGCCAGCAGTCTAGCTGCCAGCCCTCCTGCTGCACCACCTCCCCCTGCCGGCAGGCCTGCTGCGAGCCTGTCTGCTGCAGGCCCATCTGCTGTGAGCCCGTCTGCTGCAGGCCCGTCTGCTGCACCCCTGTCTGCTGCAGGCCCGTCTGCTGTGAGCCCGTCTGCTGCAGGCCCGTGTGCTGTGAGGCCTCCCCCTGCTCAGCCCCCTCGTCCTGCTGCAGACCCTCCTCCTCCGTGTCCCTCCTCTGCCGCCCCGTGTGCCGCCCCGCCTGCTGCGTGCCCGCCTCCTCCTGCCAGCCCAGCTGCTGCCGCCCGGCCTCCTCTGTGTCCCTGCTCTGCCGGCCCGCATGCTCCCGCCCTGCTTGCTGCCTCCCAACCTTGGCCCCGGAGCCCTGTTGCTGACCTGGCACATTGCCAACTCCTTCCAGGGCCAATGCTGACTTTCACCTGAAACTTCTGTAGCCTTGAGCCCAGTCTGGGGTCTCCTTCTGCCCCAGAATTTCCTGTTAGCAGCCTGGGTTGGCTCCTGGTTCCCTCCAGGTCCTGAGATTCAGCCAGCATCCTGCTCTCCATCCTTGTTGGTCATGATATTGTCCTGACCTAGGTGAGGGGTCTGCCTATTAACAAATAAAGTCACTGTCATGCCATCTCTGTGCCTGGAGTGCATATCTGGTCAAACCCTGGGAAAGACCTTTGTTGTGGACAGTGGGCTGGGCTGGGTTAGAAACCTGGCCTTGGGCTGCGCCCAGGACAGTAACATCATCAGGCTCGGCTCCCCACACCCTGCTCCTCTCTGCCTGGGTGTCCTGTGGCCGAGGTTCTCCTGCAGCCTCCAGTCCAGAGTATCCTGCTCACCTGTAGACCCCGCATGAAGTGAGTGATGGGGGGGCGTGGGGCCCATGTTCAGGCCCCGGGCTTGCACACTAGGAACATGGGGCCTCACTAGGGACAATGGAGACCCCGTTTAATAAACATCTGCCTTGAATACGTAAAGCTTACTCCAGAAACAGCGTCAGACAGGCTAGTGCCAGCCGTTCTCTAGTGCCCTGGACATGAGTATGAGTGCTTTCCTCTTTGCAGAGGTGTGGATGTTGAGAGCCACATGCAGTGATGTTGGGAGCCTGTGTGAGTCAGGGTTCTCCAGAGAAAGAACCAATAAGACATGTGCACATATGCAGAGATTGATGTTGAGGAGCTAGCTCACAGTTTAGAGGCAGGCAAGTCCCAAATCTGTATGGTGAGCTTCCTGGGAAGAGTTGGTGTTGCAGCTACAAATGACCTGCTGGTAGAATCTCTTTCTCTTTGGGGGACATCAGTCTGGTCTCAAGGTCTTCAACTGCTTGGTTGTGGCCCAGCCACATTTTGTAGGGCAATCTGTTTTACTCAGAGTCCACTGATTTCAGTGTTGATCTCACCTAAGAAACAACCATGTTATGACATCCAGACATGTTTACCCAGACAACTGGGCACCATGGCTTGGTCAAGTTGACACTTGAAATTATCCATCCCAGGGACCAACAGCCAGGGGGGATGGGCTATTTGGAAATGGCAGGTGCTCACTGGGTGATGTCCTCAGGAATTCAAGTATTAAGGCAGCTATCCCTCTTGGGAAATGTGGATAGGAGGGACATACCTTGGCCCTGTCGGGACAGTGCTGGGTAGGCAAACACTTGCAGGACTGTGATGGGCCTTGACCTGGCGCCTCAAATGTAATTGTACCTTTATAATATGCATGCATATGTGCTGAGTTGCTTCAAGCGTTTCTGATTCTTTGTTACCTTATGGACTGTAACCTGCCCGACTCTTCTGTCCATGAGATTCTCCAGGCAAGAGTACAGGAGTGGGTTTCCATGCCTTCCTCTAGGGAATCTTCCCAACTCGGGGACTGAACCCAGGTCTCCCACATTGCAGGCAGGTTCTTTACCATCTGAGTCAACGGGGAAGCCCAAGAATACTGGAGAGGGTAGCCTATACTTTCTCCAGGGGATCTTCCTGACCCAGGAATCATACCAGGGTCTCCAAAATTGCAGGCAGATGATTTACCAGATGATCTACCAGAGAAGCCCATGGTATTGTTGCTGAATATCTATTGTATGTCTGTATTATTTTTAATAATTTGAGCATATTATAATATGTAATATATTGTATGTCCTATATTCAAGTGAATATAGGAATCCACACCTTTAAAGGTTTAATTTTTGCTTTTTGGAGAATTAACTTGACTAAATCCACACAGCTAGTAGATGATTATCTAATATTTGAAGTTAAAATGAATGTTCTTTCCAGTACACCTCAGTGTCTTTAACTTTTTTAATATACTGTTTTATGAAGCCTTTGAGGTCTCTTCATAGGCCTCTGAAAATGAACATAATTCTTTTGGAGTAATAAAAACTCAGTATAATCAGTATCCATTTTATTTGCTTGTTTCCCTAACAATTTAAAATATATGTGAGACGTGCTTATGCATGTATTTGTGTGTATGTGTATGCATATGTGTGTATATGTAAATGTATATCCATATATTTTAGTAGAGAAATCTCAAGATTATTATTCCAATTATTATTCTGTGATCCATTTATTACTACCTGTGAAATGCATGACTCCATCTTATTAAAAGAAAAATCACCAGGAGAAAGCAAACTGGGGAGGTTTTTATTATCCTAGCTGGAAGGTGTTCAGTAGGCATGGTNGGTGGGCCATTTTTAAAGTCTTTATTGAATTTGTTCCCACGTTGCTTCTGTTTTATGATTTGGTTTTTCTGGCCGAAGGGCGTGTGGGGTCTTGGCTGCCTGGCCAGGGACTAAACCCACACCCCATACACTGGAAGATGGCTTCTTAACCCCTGGACCTCCAGGGGAGGCCCATCATTTGTCTTGTCTCTTTAGATGTTTCTCCAAGAGGAAAACATGCGTAGAGTGTTTTCCAAGTGTGAAAATTCACTGCTGTTCTCTTTACTTGAGAAAGATATAAGGGGCTTCCCAGATGGCACTAGTGGTAAAGAATTGGCCTGCCAAAGCAGGAGAAAGATGTACTGATTTGAAAATAGGAAAAATAAGCCTTAGTCTGCAGTGTTCCCCCAGAAGCTCTTTGTCTTTCACTGTTTGATGGGAGAGGTCTGGGGTCCGCCCGGTCAGGGTTCATTTACAGACTGTTGGCCGTTTCTTCCTGCCTGGAAATGGAGCTGCCCTTCATTCGGTTCATTTAAAAACTGCCAATGTATGACTAGGGTGGGCTCTAAGAATCCAATGCTCTTGAATTCATGAGGCCCTTCCAGTAAAAACACATGCACCTTGGTGCGCTCAGCTCAGAGTGGTTCGTGTTCAGTCCTGTCTTTACTGTCTTATCCTAGCTCTTCCTTCTTCCTTGTTAGCAACTGAGCGATCATGTTTGGTGTCAGCGAAACACATGGTCTGTTTATTACAATTTTTCTCATCGTATTTTGGGATTTATACTTTACCTCTGTTGGAGTAAGAAGTGGCACCTCACTCCAGTATTCTTGCTTGGAGAATCCCATGGACAGAGGAACCTGGCAGGCTACAGTCCATGGGGTCACAAAGAGATGGACACAACTGAGCACCTGAGTAAGCATGCATACTTTACCTCTGTGGTTTGGAGGAACTAGCAGTGTTTGTGCTGAAAACCACAGAGTTGATTTTCTGTGGTGATAATTTTGCTCTTTCCCGCCTCTGTTATAAATTTTCAGCTCAGCTGCCTGGTGGTAGATTTCCTTGGACACATGCTTCCTTCTGCGTCTAGCACTGAAGTTGGTGTGGGGGAAGGCCTGGATAAGAACCTCAATCCTATATACAGATGGCTGGCTTCCAGTCCCAGTCCTGATTCTTTGGGCTGTGTGACCTGGAGATGGTTGCTTAAGTTCTCTGTGCCTGGGCTTCCTCATCTATTTACAGAAACTTCCTTGCTGAGGAAACTTCCTGCTTTCCTTCCTTCCTTCACTCAGCATCGTTCCTATAGTTCAGTTGCTCAGTCGTGTCCCACTCTTCATGACCCCATGGACTACAGCACAACAGGCTTCCCTGTTCTTCGCCAGAGCTTGCACAAACTCATGTCCATTGAGTCAATGATGCTATCTAACCAACATGTCCACTTTTGTCCCCTTCTGCTCCTGCATTAATATTTCCCACCATCAGGGTCTTTTCTAAGGAGTCAGCTCTTTGAATCAGGTGGCCAAAGGATTGGAGCTTCAGCATCAGTCCTCAGCTTCAGCATCAGTCCTTCTAATGAATATTCAGGTTTGATTTCCTTTTGGATCTTACCTCAGATATTTTCTATATCTTTTCTGGAGTCAAACAAAAGAGAAATGGGAAAACATCCTGCAACATGGGATATTTACGCTCACAGGTTTGATGAGTGAAAACTATTGTGGAAACCACGCCAGCGCTAATGAGGGGCTCCTGCAGCCAACTCTCAACCCCAACAAGGAAGGGAGGGCCTGGGAGGCTCCTGTGGGGACAACACAAGCCAGGGGCCAGGTATAAAAGCCCTGCATCCCCAAGCACCTCACACACACAGCTCACACACTCACACACACTCAAACCGTCCTCCAGCCCCACCACCTCCACCATGGCCACCTCCACCCTGTCCGTCTGCTCCAGCGACCTGAGCTACAACTGTCCAGAGAGCTGCTGCGAGCCCCCCTGCTGTGCCTCCAGCTGCTGCACCCCGGTCCCCTGCCTGACCCTCCTCTGTGCCCCAGTGAGCTGCGAGTCCAGCCCCTGCTGCCAAACCTCCTGCTGCACCTCCTCCCCCTGCCAGAAGGCCTGCTGTGAGCCCGTCTGCTGCAGGCCTGTCTGCTGCAGGCCCGTCTGCTGCACCCCTGTCTGCTGCAGGCCTGTCTGCTGTGAGCCCGTCTGCTGCAGGCCCGTCTGCTGCAGGCCCGTCTGCTGTGAGGCCTCCCCCTGCTCAGCCCCCTCGTCCTGCTGCAAATCCTCCTCCTCTGTGTCCCTCCTCTGCCGGCCTGTGTGCCGCCCCGCCTGCTGCGTGCCCGCCTCCTCCTGCCAGCCCAGCTGCTGCCGCCCGGCCTCCTCTGTGTCCCTGCTCTGCCGGCCCGCATGCTCCCGCCCTGCTTGCTGCCTCCCAACCTTGGCCCCGGAGCCCTGTTGCTGACCTGGCACATTGCCAACTCCTTCCAGGGCCAATGCTGACTTTCACCTGAAACTTCTGTAGCCTTGAGCCCAGTCTGGGGTCTCCTTCTGCCCCAGAATTTCCTAGTAGCCACCTGGGCTGGCTCCTGGTTCCCTCCAGGCCCTGAGATTCAGCCAGCATCCTGCTCTCCATCCTTGTTGGTCATGATTTTGTCCTGACCTAGGTGAGGGGTCTGCCTGTTAACAAATAAAGTCNACCCCTGCCTTGCCCCAACCACCACCGTGAGCATTTTGTCCCACTGGCCCTCAGGCACACACTCCTGAGCGCTAGCTCCTGGAAATCCCTTCTAGGGGAAGATAACCGCAGGGGCCACGAGTGTTCCCTTGGCGCTGGAGTGGCCAGAGGCCAAGTGACCCAAACTGTTCACATGGATGTTACTAAATTAGGTGTTAAATTAAACATGAGGACCATGAAGTCTTTCCACTTTAGTGTAATACTTGTGTGAAATTTCACTCATACTTTTGCATGGGCAGAGACTTGCTAAAAGATTATATTCTGTATTTTATATATCTGCTTAGCATGCAGATTTAATCACTTTCGATTCTTTACCTTTTTGTGATACTAGGCTAGAAATTGTTGTTCAGTCGTTAAGTTATGTCTGACTTTTTGTGACTCCATGGACTGCAGCATGCCAAGCTTCCCTGTCCTTCACTATTTCCCGGAGTTTGCTCAAACTCAAGTCTGTTGAGTTGGTGATGCCATCCAACCATCTCATTCTCTGTCACTGTCTTCTCCTCTTGCCCTCATTCTTTCCCAGCATCAGGGTCTTTTCCAGTGAGTCGGCTCTTCGCATCAGGTGGCCAAAGTATTGGCGCTTCAGCTTCAACATCAGTCCTTCCAATGAATATTCAAGTTTGATTTCCTTTAGGATTGACTGATTTGATCTCCTTGCTGTCCAAGGAACTCTCAAGAGTCTTCTCCAGCACCACAGTTTGAAAGCATCAATTCTTTGGCACTCAGCCTTCTTTATTTTTAGGCTAGAAATGAACAGACTCTAAGTTGCATTAACAAACAGTCAAGTATGTATGGTCTCTCTGTGGTTCAAGCTGGAAAGTGATGCTCAGCTGGGGTTGCTGGTATTTGGAGGTGATCATGCGGGTTGTGAGAGGTTTTTAAAATTGTGGTGAAATACACGTAAAGTGGAATTTCCCTTCCAGCCCTTTTAAGGTGTATGGTTCAGTGGCATTAAGGACAGTCACACTGTTGTGCGGTGATCACCACTGCCCACCTCCAGAACCTTTCTCATCCTCCCCAAAATGGACCTCTACAGACACTGAATAACAGCTCCCCAACACCCCCAGCCCCTGGTACCCACTCTATTTTCTGTCTCTGGATCTGACCCCTTCAGCGGTCTCATATGAGTGCATTGTACACTAGCTGTCCTTCTGTGACTGGTTTACATCACTCAGCATAATATCCTCGAGGTTTATCCACACTGATGTCAGAGCTTCCTTTTTAAGGTTGAATAATATCTCATTGCATGAATGCACCACATCTTACTTATCGTTTCTTCATTGATGGACACTGGTTGCTGTGACATTTTAACTACTGAGAGTAATGCATGTAAGAACAGGGGTGTACAATTGCCTCTTCCGGACACTGCTGTCTGTCCTTTGGGGTGTCTGCCAAAAGTGGAATTGCTAAGTCAGATGGTAATTCCACATAAATTTTTTGAGGAGTCTCCTTATTGTTTTATTTTTTTTATTTCTTAATTGGAGAGCATATAACCTGAGAAATCCACAGTTCAAAAAGGCACATGTACCCCAACGTTCCTTACTGTTTTTTAATAATATTACCCCTATTCCACTTTCCATCCCCACCAACAGTGCACAGGGCCTCCGATTTCTCCACATCCTCGCCAACACTTGCAGCTTTCTGCTTCACTGACAGTAGCTGTCCTCAGGGACACGAGGGGTTTGTTTGGTTTTATCACAGCTGTGGTTACTGCCTGAGGCATGGCAAGGTGGGTCCACACAGCCAGACGGTACATGTGGCCTCCCTGGGACAGCTCGTAGTGCACACGTGGCCCCGGGCCTAGGGCCTGAGCCCTGGAGGATGCGGTCCGGCTGGAGGAGGAGAGCCAGGCTCCGTTGGTGGACCTGGAGCTGCCCCGCTGGAAAAGCGGTGGGTGGGGGGGCGCACGGGTGGGAAGGGAGCCGAAGCCTGCCCGTGTCCTCGCTGGGTGGATTGGAGTTGACCCCGGTAAAAGCACTGCTAAAGAGTTGGTAGCGTCGCTTAAAGGCCCAGAGGAAGGTCAGGGTGAACTCTGGCACCAGGAGCCCAAAAGGAGCTGCAGCTGATCCAGCCCAGGGCTTTCTTCCCCCTATATGTATATATTTTGGGGGGTTTCCCTGGTGGCTCAGACGGTAAAGCGTCTGCCTGCAATGCAGGACACCCGGATTTGATCCCTGGGTCGGGAAGATCCCCTGGAGAAGGAAATGTCAACCCACTCCAGTACTCTTGCCTGGAAAATTCCATGGATGGAGGAGCCTGGTAGGCTACAGTCCAGGGTGTCAAAGAGTCGGACAGGACTGAGCAAATTCACTTTCATTTTCATGTATGTCTGGTTTCAGTTGACCCAGCAAGTGGGGTCTTTCCTCCTGGTGCAGAGCCTTCTGTCTAGATGTGTCCCCCGGCTCCAGAGTTCTGGGTCTCAGTACTTGTGTTGCACAGGCTTAGTTGCCCCACAGCATGTGGCATCTTAGTTCTCAGACCAGGGATCGAACCCATGTCCCCTGCATTGGAAGGCAGGTTCTTAACCACTGGACCACGAGGGAAGTCCTGAAGCGCAGGTCTTGCTTTGTGACTTTCAACCCACCATGTAACCTCTCTGACTCAGTGTCCTTTTCTGGAATGAGGGAATAAATAGTCAGCAAAACTCCCAAGTAAATGTGCAGAACAACCTTCATAGCTTTGACACAACCCCAGGCATGCTCCAGATGAGAAATTGTTCAATCCCAACTCCGGCCACATCTTCCTACATCCCCTGGGTCACCAACAAGGTGAACCCCCTCTAGCTCTGACACCATCTGTCCCTTCGCCCTGGGCTCGGAGGATGGGGGCAGGCTTGGGACCCCGTGTGGACAGAAGCCACTGGAAGCCTCTGTGAGATGGAGAGGGGCCACTGAGCACTTCTGCAGCACACGCTTTTGTAGAAGACCCTGTCCTGAGGCAAAGCATGTCCTCCAAATTCACATCTGCCAGAACCGGGAATGGGGCGTTGTTTGGATGCAGCATCCCTGTGGGGATAACCAAGCTCAGTTGAGGTCATGCTGGAGGAGGGTGGCCCTGAGTCAGTGATTGGTGACCCGATGAAACGAGGAGCAGAGGAGAGGCCACACAATCTGGTCACAAGCCAGGAGCTCCGGGAGCTGAAAGAGACTCCCCTCCAGTCTTCAGAGGGGACAAACCCAGCTGACACCTTGATCTCAACTTCTGGCCTCCAGCACCATGAGGGAACACACTTCTGTTGTTTAAGGCACCTAGTTGGTGGAGCTGGTCACAGCTGCTCCTAGACACTGATACAGCCTCACGGTGCTGCCCACTTTCCTTTCTGCATAAGTGGGCCCCCAGTCTGCTCTCCCATGGCCCTAAAACCACCCTCCAATGTTTTCAGAATGGCTGACATGCCCTTCCCAGCCACCCTGTCTATGCGAGGAGCCCGGTTCTTCATCGGCAGTCGGCGGAGGACCAAAGGCCGGTTCACGGTAAGGATGGAGGCGCTGCCCCCCAGGCCCTCCAACACCAGTGCTCCTGGGGGCTGTCACCACTGGCCTGGCACCCCAATGCTCTAATTAAACAGTGGTGTGTGCCAAATGGGAATGGGGAGCATAAGGGCTCAGAGGAGACCCCTGCTAGCTAGGCACGCTCCCCTACAGGCCCTTTGCACCTGCTGTGCCCTCCTCCTGGAGCGTGAGTCCCCAGTCCTGCCGTGGCACACTCCAGTGACCTTGGGGCCTTGCCTTGTGCCCTTGTACTGTGAAGGCCTTGCCCACCCCTTAGAAGATGCCTCCACACCCAGCCCTCTCATCCCCTCTCCGGATGATCTTTGTAGCCATGACCTCCTTCAGACCAGCTGTGTGTTTGGTCATTGCCTGTCTCCCCCTTGGTGTGTGAGTGGGGGGACCTTGCTCAGTGAGGATATGGGCTTTTGTTTCTTGCTGTGTCCAGTGTTGAGAACATGCCTTGTGCATAAGAGGTGAGATCTGAATATTTACCAGTGGCATGATTAGATGGATGGATGGATGGACAGCTAGATGGATGGACAGAGTAATAGAAAGATGGATGGTAGATGGGCAGATGGGAGGATAGCTAGGTGAACAGATAGATGAATGAATGTATAGATGGATGGATGGATGGATGAATGAATGGGCATTTGGGTGGGATGATGGAAGAATGGGTGGCTGGACAAAGAGATGGATGGATGAACAGAGGGATGAATAGATGGATGGGCAGATAAGTGGACAGATGGACAAATGAGTGGACATACAGATGAATGACCAATGCACCCAGTTATTCTAGGTCAGTCCACAGGAAGAACCTGTTCCATGGTGTAATCACCTTAGAACCGTGCACAGCTCTCCACTATTGCTCCCAGTGCCCCCTAACCTATAGGCAGACTCCTCTCTCTTGCCCACCCCTCCCTCAGGGTCTGGGTGGGCTGAGCCCAGGGGTCATCGGGCCCTCCAACAGCACAGGTCTGAGTGCCCTGCACCCCCCCTGCAGGGCCTGGTGAGGCAGCTGGTTCTGCTGCCTGGCTCGGATGCCACCCCGAGGCTCTGTCCCTGCATGAATCCTGAGCTCGCTGTGCTGTCCATCCCCGCTATCCTGCATGGCCTCACAGGGAAGCCGGAAGACAACGAGGTGCTAAAATACCCCTATGGTTAGTAGGCCAAAGCTGCCCCTCCCCACGCTGACGGTAGACCCCGAAAGCCTGGTCACCCCCAGGTTCCCCAGGCATAAGACAGTAGGGTGCTTATCATGTGGATGAACGGATAGCTGGGGCCTGATGCAAATGACCCCCTCCCTGGGGAGGCAGACAATGCTCTCAGATCCACCCTTCTTCTGCAGGGCTCCCTTGTCAGCTGCTTAAGCCCCGCCAGACGGTGCCCTTGATGGACCGCTCATCCTGCCTGGGACCCGGGGCTGAGCTGACACAAATTCCTTCTCTGACTCCTACCTGCCA